TGCAGATCGCATATGCTTGCACATCGAAGGTGGCATATGCTTGCAGATCGCAGATGCTTGCAGATCGCAGATGTCTGCACATCGAATGTGGCATATGCTTGCAGATCGCATCTGGCATATGCTTGCAGATCGCATATGCTTGCACATCGGATGTGGCATATGCTTGCAGATCGCATCTGGCATACTGCTTGCAGATGGCATATGCTTTTGAAGATCGCATATGCTTGCAGATCGCATATGCTTGCAGATCGCATATGCTTGCAGATCGCATATGCTTGCACATCGAATCTGGCATATGCTTGCAGATCGCATATCCTTGCACATCGAATGTGGCATATGCTTGCAGATCGCATCTGGCATATGCTTGCAGATCGCATATGCTTGCACATCGAAGGTGGCATATGCTTGCAGATCGCATATGCTTGCAGATCGCATATGCTTGCACATCGAATCTGGCATATGCTTGCAGATCGCATATGCTTGCACATCGAATCTGGCATATGCTTGCAGATCGCATATGCTTGCAGATCGCATATGCTTGCAGATCGCATCTGGCATATGCTTGCAGATCGCATATGCTTGCACATCGAATGTGGCATATGCTTGCAGATCGCATCTGGCATATGCTTGCAGATCGCATATGCTTGCACATCGAATGTGGCATATGCTTGCAGATCGCATCTGGCATATGCTTGCAGATCGCATATGCTTGCCGATCGCATATGCTTGCAGCTCGCATATGCTTGCAGGTCGCATATGCTTGCAGATCGCATATGCTTGCACATCGAATGTGGCATATGCTTGCAGGTCGTATCTGGCATATGCTTGCAGATCGCATATGCTTGCACATCGAATGTGGCATATGCTTGCAGATCGTATCTGGCATATGCTTGCAGATGGCATATGCTTGCCGATCGCATATGCTTGCAGATCGCACATGCTTGCAGATCGCATATGCTTGCAGTTCGCATATGCTTGCACATCGAATGTGGCATATGCTTGCAGATCGCATCCGGCATATGCTTGCAGATCGCAACTGGCATATGCGTGCAGATCGCATATGCTTGCACATCGAATGTGGCATATGCTTGCAGATTGCATCTGGCATATGCTTGCAGATGGCATATGCTTGCAGATCGCATACGCTTGCAGATCGCATATGCTTGCAGATCGCATATGCTTGCACATCGACGAATGTGGCATATGCTTGCAGATTGCATCTGGCATATGCTTGCAGATCGCCTATGCTTGCAGATCGTATATGCTTGCAGATCACATATGATTGCACATCGCATGTGGCATATGCTTGCATATGAAGCATTTGTGCATATGTGCATATGTGCATATGAAGCATATGTGCATATGTGCATATGTGCATATGTGCATAGGAAGCATATGTGTGTATGTGCATATGTGCATATGTGCATATGTGTATATGCGCATATGTGCATATGTGCTATTGCATATGAAGCATATGAAGCATATGAAGCATACGAAGAAAAAAAAAGAAAAAAAAAGCGCGCAAAAAAAAGACGCGCGCGCGCTGGGGATTGAACCGGCGACGCGGTGGACAGACAACAGACAGACGGACGGCGACTCGGCCCAAGGCCTCCGCTCCAAAAGTCGCTACGGCTACGAGCGCTGTTAAAAAAAGTAAAAAAAAAGCGCGCAAAAAAAAGACGCGCGCGCGCTGGGGATTGAACCGGCGACGCGGTGGACAGACAACAGACAGACGGACGGCGACTCGGCCCAAGGCCTCCGCTTCAAAAGTCGCTACGGCTACTAGAGCGCGCTTTTCGCGCAAGTGGGCCGTAGCTCCGTAGCATAGC